TGAACGTAACGTAGTAATCTGTATCGATGAGAAAAACTCCTAGACTTTTGATGGAGTTTGATTCTCTAAACTGGATGGTTTAGTCGTGGAGCTTTCATCGTTCTTCTGAACGACATCATCAGCACAAACTTCGAACACTTCACTTCTATCTGAAGTCTGTATTCAAAAATCTATTCTCCTATTCGACTTATTTAATCTCGTTATACACTAAACAGGATTATACACAAATAGTCTGAATGTATATTTCAATAACAATCATTCGTACAAACGAACTGGAGTCAGATATACGGTCATAATGTGAATAAATGAACTACTCTTACTTAATAATGAATATGCATAAACACTAGCAGTGGAATTTATCATTCAGTCTGAGGCTCATCAAGTGAACTCACCTGAATTTCATTGCTTATGTCTACACTAGGAATTAGGTCTAGCAATATGACATGCTTATTCGATGAGTTACTGAATTGAGATATTCACCTACACCACTGTGATCAATTCGGATACATGTAACATACATTCTCCAAGCATTAGTTAAGAATGTCATGCGGACCTCAACCAAATAGTCTGCATCTATCGATATTGTTCACACCATAAGCTAGTGACTTCAAGCATTGATGCCACGTTTTGTTTTGGCCGCCCTTAACTTTCTTCCAACCCTACTCAACACTAGTCAGCATTGAGCGTCGTGGTAATCAGTGTTCAGGCATACGTAATGTTAAGGTGATTCAGAAAACTTCTCTCAAAAGACAAGAAAGAATCAGGAAACACTAAGAAGCATTTTATTCAATCAGCGTTCACTTGAAGTTTAACCAGAAACATCATGAAAGTGAAAAGTCACATGTAGAGTTTCTGATTGGCTGATTGCTATACTGCTATTATGTTTAGTAGCATTCTAGAATTTTCAGGAAACCCAAGAACATCTAAAATATTATAAAAACCTTATATTTTCTGTACGAAAACGAACCTTTGGAGTGAAGTGCTTCTCGCATATTCTACTTCTTTTCTCTCGTGTTCAGGTCCCTGTGTACTTCTAGCTAATGGGTTACGAGAGTAGCTTAGGAAACGAATATATAGCGTTCAATTAACAAGACTTATCACGTAACATGTGGCCCAAACATCTCAATCGATGAAGATTCACAACATCATCAACTGATTTACCATCATCATTCCCTAATACCTTGTATCTGTCTAACCTTCCAACTTCTTACTCGAAATATACCATACATCATTCTATGAAGGAAAACCCAACTGGGAATGATATTACCAGTGAAATTCTGATGTTCCTTCCAACACCACCACCACCAACAACAACAAGGAACAAACATCTTGTATGTGGTAATTATAAGTAAGTAAATGGTATGACAATGGTCAACATGGAACGACTTCATTTTATTGAAAGAGAAAAAAAACTTACCATAATTTGTGAAGTAAATTTCTTTTGTTAAAAACAAACAAACAAACAAACAAAATGTAGAACTGAATGAAACAATGATTGAAGTCAACTGAAGCTAAATCATCATGAAAAATGTGAAAGCAATGAATAACTGTTTGGTCTTAGTATTGAACTACTCAGCAAGTATAGATCCACGATCCTATCTCACAAGATTCTTACTCAGAGTCTATTGGTCTGGCGGCGCGAACACTTAATCTCTAGATCACTGAACCGGCTAGCATCTAACGGTGTTATTGTCAAATTTCAACTAATTATTGAACTTTATGGAATATGATACTTTGTTGAAATTCATTTGATGTTAGTCAAACTTTCTTGAAACAAATTCAAAGAAGATGTGTGTTGGAATCCGAGAAACATAATGAATGGTAACTGTTGGGATCTATTTGTGGACCAACACTAAACGTATATTTCTATTGTATGATTATTAAGTAACTAAACTATGCATATTCATATTCCTCTTATTATAAGCTTTATTTTGACCCATAAACTATTATTACACGTTTTACCATTCTTGAGTTATACCCAGTATATTAATTACTACCTCCCTCATTCACAGCCAGATCTAGCTAATTCTTGTACAAATGTTGTTTCCTATTTGATGGTAAGATGTGGTCTGTTTGATTGGTATATAAACGGAGTATGTTTGAGATAAATGATTCATATCGTAGAGGCTCGGATTGGTGTTCTGGTCGTAACTGGCTGTGCTAGGCGGAAAGCAGGACCAATCAGGATTCTAGGCTGTTCGCTCGTGTTTTACGCATCCTTAGTCTGATCGATAATTCACTGCTCTCTAATCGACAGCGACAAGTTTTAACAGTGTCCCATCCACTTCTATCTTCTTTTCCTAAGTTCCTCTTCTTTCGGAAGTTGATTTATCCTACCCCATAGTAGGTTGTTGCTGATGGTATACAGTCAATGGATATTGAGTATATTTTGTAGACAAGCGTTTATAAATGCTTTTACCGTTTTAATGATTGTTATGGTTGTTCTCCAAGTTTCAGCTCCATACAGTAGAACAGTCTAGACTTGCTTATAGAAGATTGTGACTATGAGAATGGATGACAATTGTTTTGAGTTCCATATGTTCTTCATTTGTAGTTATGTTGTCATGCCTTTCCATTCGTTGTCTTTACATTTTCATCAGATCTTCCACGTTCATGGATGATGATACTCAGATCAGTGAAACTTTCCATATCTTCCAGAGTTTGTCCATCAACTGTGATTAAGTTGGTGTTGAATTTGAGGATGTTGGTTTTTCCTTTGTGTTATCTGATATAGAGGCTTCTGTTACACTATTTGTCTTGACCTGCATTTGTTGACGTGTATGGGAAAGAAGAGCTAGGTCATCTACAAAGTCCGAATCGTCCAGTTATTTCCAAGCTTTCCATTGAATGACATTTAAATAGTTGATCATAAATGTATGTTTAAGTAACAAAGACATAAATAATCGATAAAAGGAGTGGTTAAGATCATGAAAATTACTCACAGTAGAATTTCATATATTGTTCTGTGAAGAAAATAATATACATATATTGTATTCATACAGTTAAATGATAATAATCTCGATGGATTATCAGTCTAATATCTAAGTTAATGTAAAACGTTAGGGTTTCAATGTACACTCTGTGGACTTAGATTTGAAGGTGGATATGTTATTTATCAGCGATTTAGATAAAGAACAGTTCTAATCAAACATTTTGTTATGAAATATTCTCTAACCTTCTTCAAGTTCATTCTTTTCTTGGCCATTTCTTTCTGCTTATCATTTTTTGCTACTTATTAAATTTCAGTAGCTTATGTTATAATCAGTAATTTTGTCTAACAGCGTTGAATGTTTCAATTTTATAATATTTTACAAATTTTGCATGTTTGTTATGATGTTTTATAACATTTTCTTATTTAACACAGAGTTTGCCTCTCTTTATCCCATCATTCATTTTCTGTGATAATATCACATTTTCGCTAAATCAGTGAATAAGCATTTTGATTAACCGGCATTGTACTTAAGAAAATGAGTTACTTGCTGTTATGTTCTTTACTTGATTAACTCAGAATACGGTGATACAACTACGACACTAAAACTAATGAAACTTTCATAGCCGCAAATCAGAAGATAGAGAAAGACTGGAGAATGTAATTGTTGGGTAAGAATCAAAATGTACAGAAAATCATAGGTATTTATACATATCAACGTTTGTTATATCAACATTATAATTCAGCCAATGCATGTAATACTACTGTCAAATCGTAGCGTACCACGTTGATATTCTAGAAAGCTCCATTGTTTTCTGATTGAATGAAAGAATTTTGGCTCCTTTAGGTCCTCTAGAGGTTCCATTGTAGTTCTTGGAAGCCATCTTAACATTTGCAACTTTTCTGTACATCTTCTTTCAAATTTAATAATATGTAGCATGCATTTACCTGTCTAATATCAATCAACTAAATTTTGAACGAATCTTCTTTCTGATGAAATACTTTTGATTTCAATCAAACAGTTTGTAAAAGTATTCTTAAACCAAATTGATCATTCAAAACTGTTTCCATTCTGCCAAAGCTAATTTATAGCAATGAAGTTGGTTAACGTTGAATGTTGCTATGGTAACATGATCAATTGAGATAAAAATACTATTTGTCTATCGTCAAACTAGCATAACCAAATTAAAATGTCACATCAGTCCATGAATTCCATAACTTGTGGTGTGAGCCATGTTGATAAATGCAGACTACTTGGTTGAATTCCACGTGACTCTCATGACCAATGGTTGGAGACTTTGGGTGAAGTGGCTCAGAATCGATCACAATGGCGTAGGTGTATACACTCACTGTCTTCCTTTAAACTATGAGATTAAAATCGCTTTATATTTTTCTTTCTACGTACTAATTCTTTCTTCCTGTACTATATCCTTACACACAATCTTTCTTTTTTATATTACCACCACTGAAGTGATTAGTTTTATGGATTCGGTTTTGATCTTGTTGTGTTAATGAAGTATGTCAATTTGGACCGATGCACATACGTGTGCCTAGTCTTACATTGGTGATAGTGATTATAATAACGAATAATGAAATACACCATGATGTAATCAAATGGTTTCATTGAAAATATTAATAATCGTTCGCAATTGAGAGGTAAATAGAAAGTTCCATTAAACTTACGATGATTCTTCAATATCTTCACTAGAAAACAAAACAGTTACGTAATGAATATCTCAAGGGTTATAAATTTACATCAACGGAATTCTAATACAAACTACACATATTCAACTATTAATAAACTGCCAAAAACTATAATCATAAACATGATCCATACTTGTTATTAATGTGGTATCAGTCTAGTTCTTGGATATACTCTAAGGTTAATTTGGCAGTTACCGTATTTTCTTCACTGTCACAATGCAAGCCCTCATCTGAAATCTTCAAGGCCAAAGGAGAAGAGGAAGACCAAAGAACACATTATGCCAAGAAATGTAGACAGATATGAGAAGAATAAACAACAATTGGATAGAACTAGAAAGGAAGGCCGAGGATAGAGTGGTTTAGGGGAATGCTGGTCGACGGCCTGTGTTTCATTAAGGGTAACAGGCGTAAGTAAGTAAGCAAGCAAGTATTTTCTCTCTGATAGGGCGATATAACGAACAATTTGTCTCAGTATGAAACAATAACAGGAATACACAAGGGGAAACCATCTTAAGTTGGCACAAAATTACTGGATCTCTTGGTAACATATGAGAACTACATATTGAATACTTCATTTGTAAAATTCCATCATTTGTTCGCCACATTCTTTATGATTCTTTTAGTCCAAAATTTCTTTCTGTTTCCCTGATCTTCTTAGTTTACTGCTGCCAGATTTTCCACTTACGACTGATGTTACATACTACTAATATCTGTCGATATCAGTAGCATATACTACAAACGTATCAAATTAATAATTGATCATACAATTAGTGAATGTAAAATTTGACAAATTGTAAAGTATATCTCCTACATGTCATTCAAACATTTCAATACATATTTGATACTCCTACTCCTCCTCCTCCTCCTCCTCCTCCTCCTCCTCCTCCTACTACTACTACTACTACTACTACTACTACTACTACTACTACTACTACTACTACTACTACTACTACTACTACTACTACTACTACTACTACTACTACTACTACTACTACTACTACTACTACTACTACTACTACTACTACTACTACTACTACTACTACTACTACTACTACTACTACTACTACTACTACTACTACTACTACTACTACTACTACTACTACTACTACTACTACTACTACTACTACTACTACTACTACTACTACTACTACTACTACTACTACTACTACTACTACTACTACTACTACTACTACTACTACTACTACTACTACTACTACTACTACTACTACTACTACTACTACTACTACTACTACTACTACTACTACTACTACTACTACTACTACTACTACTACTACTACTACTACTACTACTACTACTACTACTACTACTACTACTACTACTACTACTACTACTACTACTACTACTACTACTACTACTACTACTACTACTACTACTACTACTACTACTACTACTACTACTACTACTACTACTACTACTACTACTACTACTACTACTACTACTACTACTACTACTACTACTACTACTACTACTACTACTACTACTACTACTACTACTACTACTACTACTACTACTACTACTACTACTACTACTACTACTACTACTACTACTACTACTACTACTACTACTACTACTACTACTACTACTACTACTACTACTACTACTACTACCAATAATAATAATAATAATAATAATAATAATAATAATAATAACAATAATGTTTTTGACAGTTATAACAAATTAGAACATTTGTTAAGCGCTCACGTCGTAGGTTCTCTAGCAAGAAACATTACAAATTGTACAATTGGATAATTTCACAAACCATAAAGAGATGAATTGGTCTAATATTGGACAACGTAGGTTAAATGAATATTCATTCATGTACAATAAAAGTACAATAATAATAATCATAACAACAGTTATCTATGAATAGGAAAATTGGTCTTATCTAAAATTGGAAGCCGTAGACGGTCGTTTCGTTCTAGTGTAAGATTCACTAGCTATACAATCATCAACCCTCAGTACAGTAATCGAACTCACAACCTTAGATCTCATATGCAAACGCCTAACATCTGGACATCTAAATCTCTTTTGATAGGATGAATGAAACAGAATCCATTTTAATGAAAAGGTCAATCAATGGCAATCAGAATTCGTTTAAGGATCAAGTTCAGTTCATCGGGTCATTGAATCAATTTCCTAAGGTTAGAATGGTATATATATATGGATGTGTATTTATACATTTCATTCGGTAGTCCAATACACTTTCTCACCTACTCTTTTGTTTTCGCTCAAGTGGTCAGTTGAGGGGGTTAAGGCTAAGTATACCATGTCTCAGTATTAGACTTCGAACACTGCACGTCATAACATCCTTTATGTAGTAAAATTGGTCATTGAAAATGAATCCATCCAATAATTTATGATCATATCAAACATGATCTAAAAACCCAATATAAAAGAGAGGATCTTGACTTTTGAACATACAGTACTGAAGTGTTTACGGTAATAATTGATGTATCCGATTCTAAATTCTCACCTGAACAATAGATTGAAGCAGTTAACCAATTTCTGAATTAAATATTCATCATTGAAAGCAACAACGTATGAACCCCCTTCATGGTTCCTGTACAGTTGATCAATAAATGTTTATTACTGATCAATAAATTGATTGATCACTGGGTAATGATCAATGTTATGTACGTCAGATCCTCCTTAGTTGAGATAGAATCCTATGGATCAAAGTTGTAATGTGTCTGTAGTAAACGAGAACACAAGTAGGGACCATCGAATTATAGACTGTCTCATTAAAATCTGTGAACTATATAGTAAATACATCATTTGCGAAATATCAATCCATTGTCTCAAACTTGATTGTTTCCTTTTGTAAATATCAGTCCATCGTCTCAGAATTCATTGTTCTTGCATTTTCATATCAGTTACTTTCTTTTCCCATTTTTTCCTCTTCGATCTTCTTTAGATTCTACTGCCAGTGTTATATACTACTTATGTTGATATAAGTAGCACACACCATATGGTCACTAGTCTAGATCAATCGACATTGCGTTCACTGTTGACTACCTCCAACCACCATCTTATATCTTATTTTAAATTATTACAGTTCCTTTTCAAAAGCAAACTTATGAGATACACTCACGTTGTGGTTGTTGTAATTCTGTATAATGCAGATTTTAGATAACCTCAGAAATGTTGAATTACGGAATTGAGAAACATTGGAATATACTTAATAACATTCATGATAAGACCAATCAGTCCAGTCAGCTACAATGTAGGGCCAAGCATACATATGCATCAGTCCAAGTTGTCATACCTCATTAGTACAGCACACACAGTCTCCAAACATTGTTTACGATAGTCAAATGGACCCCAACCAAGTAGTCTGCATTTATCACCATGGCTCAGATTAGAAGTTAGTGACTTCAAGGATTGATGTCACATTTTTGGTTCGGCCGCCCCTAACTTTCTTCCAACAGTCTCCAACACTAGTCAACATTGCACATCAATGTCAGGCAGTCAGCTACATCGTAGGAACAGGCACATATACACATTGGTCCAAGTGACCATACCACATGAGCACAACAAGATGAGCCACAAATTCATAGAAGTAGTTAATTTAATGGTAGTAAATATGTATATATTACCTACGCCATTGTGATCGACTCTTATCCATATCACCCAATGTTATTAGGTGTTGGCGTGGAAGTATATCAACGACTAATAACATTGTATCTAAAAGATCAAGTCATCACAATACATATAAATAGTAGTTTTTATAATTAGAACCCATTTATAAGTATCGTATATACACAGGAATGTGATAGAAAATGATATAAATAAAGTCATAAGTAACATTTCTTCTTAACAATGCATAACATACTCCCAAGTTGGTTCCACCCTGAAGTTATAATGTGAAAATGCATAATAAGCAAAAACATAATCCTTGAAAGAAAAAATTCGGAATGCTTTTATTATCAAAAAGAGGATTTTGTGAAGATTGTTATAAGTTAATAGTTGAATTCGAATTGTATAAGCGAGATTGTGGATGAGCATTGATGAGGAGTACTATACTGGGACGAAACAACCGTCTAGTATTTTCAGATTTTTCATGGTGATCTGCAAGAATAGAATTGCTTGTCTTCAGTGATCAAATGTATTGGTCATTAATTTTTGAATAGTCTTTACATTCCCCGTGATCGTGAATAACTAGTCTCCTTCATCATATATCACTTTTCCACTGTTAGTCTGAATCCAGGTAGTGCTTTACGGTACTGGGTTCGGGTCCCGGAGTGAACATCAACTGTGAGATGCTATTTATTTATTTATTTTATTTTTAACACATAGATATTGGTACAATGAGGCGCAAAATATATATGCGCCACACAAATCTCATTCGATATGTGTGATGGCTGTGATACTGCCCGGGTGCCCAAACCGAAGCAAGTGGTGTTCTTAGAGGGCCACTCCTCGAGCCTTCGACTTAAAGGTCTGACCCACAAGGCAGTGAAGCATCGTAAGGAGATGCAGTCCTATGATAGCCGGTGACCAACGATTGGTTCATACGCCATTTGTTCCCGTAGGATAATGGAGCCCATATGCACCATTGGTTTGGAATCTGGTTAATGCGCCGGACATTCGCTTTTCGTCCTCTCATTTTCGTAAACAACAGTAATGCCACGAGAAGACAGTGAGTAGGACTTCCCTGGCAGAGGCTATATACGCGTGACCATGTGAAAGCATTTCGAGAGAGAGAGCGGACTCTCCACACTCTCGGCCGTACCAGGGCATTTGGGGATTGAAACGCGAGTCAAACTGGATCCCATAGCTAGCTACTATTCATCTTTGTTTAAAAAACTTATTACTTAACACTAGATCGAGGCAATTCTCACAGGATGTACATATGTCAATAACAAACTGATTAATTGCAGTCCTAAATAACAATGAGAAGATACAAGTAAAACAACATCGAGTTCACCCCATTGCACAAGTAGGTGAATATTAGGACTCAGTAGCTAAGTGGAGAACACGATGTTGCAAGAAGCGAAACAGCCGTCCATTACTTCCAGGTTTTCCATGGTAATCCAGCTTTAATTGACTCATGAATTCAACTATTTTAAAAGAAGCCCTGTTCATCTTACACCACTTATAAAAATAGACTATACTATAATGTAAGAAGTAGTTACAATTAATTGATCACTGAATGGTGATCAATATCATGTTTGTCAGGTTCTTCTTAGTGCAGACTGTATCCTGTCGGCCAATTTGTAATGTGGCTACTAGTCTACGTGACTCACCATTACGTGCACAATGTTGAGGTAGTCGATAGGAAATTCAAGACCTAGGTTTGCAAATTGGTCGTTAGGATTCAATCTGCATTCAAAAAGACCTGACACACATGACATTGATCACCATCTAGTGAATAATCAATTGTAAATACATCTTAGTCTTACAGGAGTTCAGTCGCAACCCAAATAGAACAGTGATAACGTCTCTGAATGTAGAGCTGTGTGACACGAGATCAAATCCGTCAATGAACATTAGCTCCCTCAAGATTACAGGTACCGTTTGCTGACAAGTGCCAAATAACACGAAACTTTGGTTTCGGATTTCCTTTAGCCGCTATCTCATCTTAATAAGTAGTATCTATATTCTTTAATAAGTAAAATATTTCAACACATTGATAATTTGTGTTCTATCATATCCAGGCAGTTAGCCTGGAGCCCTCCTGGAAGCTACTACCGGTCCCAAACTCCGATAAAGAAGAAGAGTTGAGCATGCGCTTAGCAACTCCATCCCGCAGAAAATTAACTCGCTAAAAACATGCTGACCATAAGTAGAAAAGATAATGAAAATGATTCATTGAAACTTACTCTGTTACAGTTTCTTTTGGGAAAAGCTCTAATGTAGATCATTTGATGAACAATTAGAAAATTATTCATTTCCCTAATATTTAAAATAATGACTAATTATGAAATAAAATATACAGATATTTCATTCCTGACATAATTATAAACATATTCTGTTGTGTACTACTGATGTCAACAGATATAAGTAGTAGTAGTAGGACGTATAATCAATCGGAAGTGAAATACCTGGGGGGGGGAGGCAGAAGGTGATTGTTGTGGAGATGAAGGAACAATCAAGTCTGAGATGATTGACTGATATTTACTGTATGGTTCTCAGATTTTACTAAGAGAATCTGTAACTTTATGTTTAAGTACGTTTGGTTATCCCCACATGTGAACTCGATCACTACAGTAATTGTAACAGTACTGATAATACTAATAGTGTGCTGTGTACTACTGAAGTCGACAGATATAAGTAGTATGTTACATCATTCGAAAGTGAAGTGTCTTGTTGCGGAAGATTAAGAAAATCGAGGAAAAGAGAACGAGAACAGTGAAGGATTGATGTGGAAATTAAGGAACAATGAAGTTTGAAACGATTGATTAACATTTTGGGAGTTCAAATACATTCGATTGTCTCTATTTGTGTGTTGTCGTTCATTACAATATTAGTCGGATGTATTCAGTATGGATTTTCAGTCATAGTTGATGACTTAAACTAATACAGATTCAGGATTTTAATTACTTACTTACGCCTGTTACACCTCATGAAGGAGCATAGGCTGCTCACCAGCATTCTCCATCCAGCACTGTCCTGGGCAATCCTTTCCAGCTCCTTCCAGTTGCTATTCATCCTTTTCATATCTGCTTCTATTATCCGACGTAATATGTTCTTTGGCCTTCCTTTTTTCTGTCTTCCTTCAGGATCCCAAGTTAGGGCTTGTCTAGTGATGCAGTTTGATGATTTCCTTCATGTATGTCCTATCCATTTCCATCGTCTTTTCCTAATTTCTTCTTCAGCTGGAAGCTGGTTTGTTGTCTCCCACAAAAGGCTCTTACTGATGGTATCCGGCCAATGGATGTTGAGTATCATTGCGTAGACAACTATTTATAAATACTTGTACCTTCTTGATGGTTGTTGTTGTAGTTCTCCAAGTTTCAGCTCCTTACAGTAGAACTGTCTTCTTCTTCTTCTTCATTTAGAAGATTCAGGATTACTCTCTTTTTAACCATCGAAGTAATGATCAAAAATTCATATCAAACACTATTCCTTTCGCACTAATTAGTGGAATATACAAACAGTTTGTTTTCATTCCATTGCATTGAATTCATCTATGATAGATTTTCGATGGGAATTTGAAATTCTATTATCTGATAGAAGTTTGAAACGTGTTTGGTCTTATATGGGACTCGTCAGCTGGATGGACTTACATTCCAAAATTGATGTTCCCATTGGGACTCGAACTCAATACTGATCAATTATAGTTCTAAACATCAATAGTAGAAGAGTGTCGACATTCATATTGAATTCCATGTATTCTTCAGTTGTATGAATGTGACTCTTCCTTTGACAATCGTTACCTTTATGTCTGTATTAGATCCTCTTTCTGCATTAATGATCCTTCTTAGTTACATAAATGATTCCACATACATTTCAACAATTTACTGTATTTGTTTTCATATAATAAGAGTCTAAAACATAATCCTTGTAAGCACTATTGTAACATATAAAGATACACATATATGGATGTTAATGTAGGGTGTAAACTGAATGATTAGGTACTTACCGCTAGGTATACTAATGAGCACTACAATATAACAATCATGATTAGACATATTGATTAGTGTTTTAAGACTTACTTTTAGAATATAGTCATACAAAGTATATAGACTGATATCAGAAACTGTTTGGAAGTTCTGTTGGTGCCCATACTACTATTAGACAATACCTACAGCAGACATCATAGGTATCTATATATTATTAAAGACGAATTTATTCCAACATATAACAAACAAAGAAAATGGAGAATCTTGGCTACAAGCTTTGTTACCATAGCAACGAGATCATACATCAGTTCCTCGATATGATCTTAGGAAGTTAGGGAAAGGCTGTAAAACGTTTTACTCAATCTATATACTGTACAAGACTATCTAGCGAATTGATCGATGGCGAGACTCTAATTTATGGACAACCTTGAACGACTCTTGTGTGACCTTGAGAAAGATTAGACAATCAGCAAACAGTCAGTATAGAGTAAAAATATGTTATGCAAAACCAAGGAAATAAAGTGGATACAATTCTTATACGTGGTTCAAAAACTTATCAAGGTTAGAGAGAGGTTCAGAGGTTCTAAAATCGTAAGGCAGGCATTGGAGGAAATCATCCAAACGGCTACAGAATAGTCGGCATCTGGAGCCACGATAAAGTCTTAAAAACTCTTTCAACCTCGACCACATTGCTTCAATATTGTTTATGTGCACTCCGATTGTTGAGTGAACAAAATGCTACTTATGGATAACAACACGATGCACATAACCAAGCCTATGTAGGAGTCTGTACGCTCTCCAAACATCCGTATATATTGTAGTACCTGGCTGCAACCAGTGTTACTGGTACTTCTATTATCCAGTTCGCGATAATTGTCATAATTTGCCTTAGTTAGGAACTATATATATGGGGTTTTCATCACGAACTGACATCAGCTATAATGCCAAAAATCTATTTAGACAAATGGTTGAAAGGCTTTCGCGTTAAAACCCGAGATATATTATCTTATACCTGATTGATTCGTCCACAAATGATAGTCTTGCTTTTTATTTGTTATAGCTGCCTAATTATCATGTTTTATATAAAATCCCCTATGAACTGATCGTACATTAACATTAAGTATTGAAGTTGGCGCTGGGACCTTGAAATCTCTCAAACGAATCTGATAGGCTCGTCCATGTATTATTGTCTCACCGAAATCTGTACTGTCATTATCTCTACTTATTACGTAATTATGATTCATTATATATTGATCACAGATGAATTGTTGTGCGGACAACCTCA